TCTGAGTCCTGTGTCCGCGAGGAGACAGGTTAGCGCCAGAGCTGGAGTGTCACCGTGGAGCATCGTGGTCTCTTTCAAGGGACTTGCTGGACGAAGAGCCCAGTGTCTAAAAGCAGAGGTGGCAGCAGTTGTGCCTGGAACTCCTGGCGGCTAAGGGGACGTCTGGGTCGGTTGGAGCAGGGCTCCTGGGCGGGCACACAGGCCCTGGCTGCGGGGTCGACAGGCCGGCCTGCCCTCCCTCTGGGCCCCCAGGGGGCCGAAGGCGGACAGAGCAGCCGTCTTTCTCCCTGTGGGTGGCTGAGTCACCGGCTGGTGGGGGCTGGGGGCCGGGTCTGGTTCCAGCCGGCCGGCGTCTTTGTCCGGAGCCTGTCCCGGAGGCGCCCGTGCCGTGGGGTGTTAATCATTACCTCGTCCCCCTTCTCGCCAGCAGGAGGGGGGACCTCCCAGGGCGCCAGGTAGGATCCCACGCCCCACCTGGGCTTCCGTCCTGGCCACTGACCGGCACTCCCGGGTGTGGCCCAGCCGGGGCCAGAGGCTGGCACGCGGTCCGGGGCTTTGGCTGGGGGCCCAGGACCGTGCAGGCTCCGGGCGGGGAGGGCGGGGAGTCCACACCCCTCGCCTGGGTGCCTTCGCGTGTGGCCCAGCCGAGGCCGGCTTCCTCCCTGCCACCCGGGCGTGCACCTCGCTGCCCGATGTGGGCGCAGGGAAGGCGAGAGGCCCCCGGACCAGCCCTCCTTCCTGCCCCCCCGTCCAGGGGCGTCGCTGAGCTCACGCCCCCGGTGAGGGTTTGGCGGGATCCTGAGCTCGTTGGTTAAAATTAAAGAGGAAAACGAGGCTGGCAGTGGAGGTGCCGTGGCCTGGCTGTCCCCGCGTCCGGGCGGCGGGAGGGAGGCCGTGCCCGGCCCTCGCCGAGACCTCTGCCTCCGGGGGGCCTGCTCTGGGGGGAGGCACGCGCCAGGGGAGGTCATGCTTATGTGGGAGCCGAGTGAGGGAGGGGCTGTTTTGGTGGAAAATCTCAGGCCTTGGAAGAACAGAGGCAGGAAGAGGAAGCCCGACCACGTGTGTGGCAGCCCAGACACCCCGCTGGTCACGGGGGGGGGGACCATGTCGCCTCACGTGGGCTTCCTGTCTTCCTTGTCGTTCTGATCCTTCTGTGTGGGCGTAGATGGACCATCATTCTCTGCAAACATGGGTTTCTTGGACACAGTTTTGGTTCCTGCTTTCTTAGCGGATGGAGTATTTCGTAATTAAAATTCCACTGTGGAGATTGTTTTCTTTTGGCTAATCCTCCCCGGAGGATATTTTCCCATTGGTTTTAGGGAGAGAGGAAGAGAGAGGGAGAAGAGAGAGAGAGATCGATGTGAGAGAAACACATCAATGGGTTGCCTCCTGCACGCGCCCTGACCAGGGCCCGGGACAGGGAGGAGCCTGCAACGGAGGTACGTGCCCTTGACCAGAGTCGAACTCGGAGCAGTGGGTCCCCAGGCCGACGCTATCGGTTGGGGTGAATGTGAGATTCAACTGGGGTTTGTGTGGTCCTCTCCTGCCGGGGAGGGGGGTCCCCCTGCTGGGCACAGGGGCAGGACGTCTCCACACACACCAGTCGGGGATTCTGGCTGAGAGTCTCCTGTTCGCATGCAGCAGTGGTTCTCAACCTTCCTAACGCCGCGACCCTTTAATACAGTTCCTCGTGTTGTGGTGACCCCCAATTTCATTGTTACACATTGAACATCATTAAAGCACAGTGATTAATCACAAAAACAATATGTAATTATATATGTGTTTCCGATGGTCTTAGGCGACCCCTGTGAAAGGGTGGTTCGACCCCCAAAGGGGTCGCGACCCCCAGGTTGAGAACCGCTGGTATACAGGGACCTGCTGCTTGTTTCTCAGGACATTCCTACCAAGTCGCCTTTCCCAGGGGCTTATGCATCACGCTGTGCCCGCGCAGGGACCGCGCCCTGTCAGGAAAGGCCCCTCCTGGCCAGTTCCATGAAAGAACCTCCCCCCACCCCCGCCCCGTGTGGTCCCCTGTGCGTGAGTCTGTGGGTGCGTTTTAAGCTCCACCCTCCTCACCCTGCACTCGTGGTGGGAAAGGGCCATGCCCTCGGGGTCAGTAGCTGGCTGGGTGGCGATGAACCTGCCTACAGGGAGCTTAGAGGAAAAGAGAGCTCATCAGAGAGTCACAGGAAGACCCACTGACCACAGCCCCGTGGCGGGCACAGAAGGGCCGCGAGGGAGGCTGTGAGCGCTGGCCTGGAGGCGGGGTCTGAGTGCAGCTGCAGGGGCGAGGACAAGCATGGCTGGTGGTGGGAACAGCATGCACGGAGCTTCTGTGGTAGGAGGCGCTGAGAGGGTGGGCAGGGTGTGCCGGGCGGCTGCCCCCTGGGGGGGGCCAGACCACGCAGTCCCTGTGGGGAGCCCTCATGATGCTCTCGGGGGGACGGTGGCAGGAGCTTGGTACCTGCAGAACCAGTGCTCTGATGTGACGCCCAGTGGTGGTTCGGGAAGGAAGACGTCATATGGGATATAGTTTCCCATTAAAACACTGCAGGGGTTCGCTGCAGGGGTTCGCCCTGGCTGGTGTGGCTCAGTGGCTAGAGCAGGGGTGGGCGAACTTTTTGACTCGAGGGCCACAGTGGGTTCTTAAACTGGACCGGAGGGCCGGAACAAAAGCATGGATGGAGTGTTTGTGTGAACTAATATAAATTCAAAGTAAACATCATTACATAAAAGGGTACGGTCTTTTTTTTTTTTTTTTTTAGTTTTATTCATTTCAAACGGGCCGTAGTTTGCCCACAGCTGGGCTAGAGCGTCAGCCAGCGGACCGAAGGGTCCCGGGTTCAATTCCGGTCAAGGGCATGTACCTCGGTTGCAGGCTCCTCCCTGGCCTCGGCCCCTAATTGGGGCACGTGCAGGAGGCAACCCATTGGTGTGTTTCTCTCACGTCGATGTTTCTCTCTGTCTCTCCCTCTCTCTTCCTCTCACCCTAAAAATCAATGGAAAAATATCCTCGGGTGAGGATTAACAACAACATAACATAACATAATGTTTCTGCACAGTTTGTATTATTTCTGGGTTTTCAGGAGAAGGCTTGTCATACTTAGTAGAGAGCAAATATACTTTCAGTTACATTTAAAGGTATTTTATTTACTTTACTAGAGGCCCAGTGCATGGAATTGGTGCAAGAGTAGGCCTTCTTTCCCCCGGCTGCCGGCACCGGCTTCCCTCTGGCACCCGGGACCCAGGCTTCGTCTGGAAGGTTATCCGGAAGGTCGCCCGGTCTAATTAACATATTACGCTTTTATTATTATAGATGGCTTTTATTTCTTTAGAGCAGTTTGAGGCTCACAGAAGTACAGAGGTGTCCTGTACGGCCCCTGCCACACGTGGGCTCCCCTCCCACGTTCAGCGTCCCCACCAGAGGGGACATTTGCCACAGTTGATGAACCCCAGGGGCACGTCCTCATCCCCCAGCGTCCACAGCTCGCATCAGGGCCACTGGCGCTGCACGTGCCGTGGTTTGGACAGACGTAGGACACACCTGCCCGTCGCCACCGGTCACACGGCCGGGTCACTTCCTGACTCGGAACATCCCCGTGGGCCTCCTGGGCCCTGTCTGGGGCCTTCCCTTTGCCGAGTGGCACGGAGTTGGACTCGCACAGCGCGTGGCCGTGGCTGCTGGCAGCTGCCACTTAGGAACGTGCGTTGAAGCTCCTCTACGTCTTCTCACGGCTTCGTAGCTCATTTCTTTTTAGCTCTGAGTACTACTCCACTGTCGATGAGCACAGTTTCTTTTTTAAAAAAATATATTTTTATTGATTTCAGAGAGGAAGGGAGAGGGAGAGACAGAGACATCAATGAGGAGAGAGAATCGTGGATCGGCTGCCTCCTGCACGCCCCTCACTGGGGATCTCGCCCACAACCCCGGGCATGTGCCCTGACCCGGAATCGAGCTGTGACCTCCTGGTTCATACGTTGACGCTCAACCACTGAGCCACGCCGGCGGGCTCTATGCCCTTTTTTAAACTTTATGCTAGTGCAGCAGCCACCAGCTGCGGGTGGTTACGTTACGTAGGATTTAAATTTCAGTTCCTCAGGCCCCGCAGGTGCAGGCGGCTTCTCAGTAGCCACGGAGGCCCCTCCTGGGACAGCGAGGTCATGGCCTCTCCCGTCCGTCTGTCCTCCTCCCTCTCAGAAACCAGTTCCAACAAAAGACCGTGGTGAGTGACTTGTTTTCACAGCGTGTCTGTGACCGAAAGACAATACGAAACAGAAAAGAAAGAATAGAATGAGGTTCACAGGGGCCTCTCTTCTGGGCGGCCTGGCCCGTCCCCGGCCTCTGCGACGAGAAATGAGTTTGTTTCCCAGCTGTTTGGGACACAGAGTGAGTGACAGTTTGAACAGTAGGTGCCTGGACTGGGTGCCCAGCCCCCTTGACACACACCCGTGGGCGCTGCGGACCACTGGCCCGCCACCCATGTCCGCGTGGGCTTGGGGCGGTGACAGGCCGCGGACATAGGCCACGGACACAGGCCACGGACACGCTGCTGAAATAATTTTTTTGGCATGAATCTGGTTCCGGGAATTCAGACCATGTGGACTTCAGGGCCCTAACCTTTTCTTCCCTGCAAGTAAGTGGCCAGACGAGCAGACGGCCTGCGAGGCTGCGCCGTGGACCATGTCCCGGGACGTGTCCCTGAGCCTGGCCACACGCTCCCTCCCACCACGGCCCTGGGACCAGCGTCACGCACCTCCCTGCTGTGGGAGCAGCGTCCTCTCCGCCTTCACTTGTTTAAAGCCCTCGTGTCCAGTCCAGCAGCATCTGACGTGGGTGATCCACGCGTGTGGCACGCGCTGCTTCTGCTCGGAATGGCGTGTGCCCTCTCGCCTCGCCGTCCTTGGACACTCGCTTGGAGGGGGAGGACAGCGCCCTGGACATGCGCTGTTTCACCTCTCGCTTGCCCGCTACTGATTCCTTTTCTTTCTTTCTTTTTTTTAGGTCGCTTGCAGCGCTTGCATGCTGAGAAGGTATCGTTGTTAAACTGTGGGCGGTGGGTTTGTGCGTACGGGTTCCTGGGCAATGAGAGTGAGAGCAGATTCCGGTGGTGACGGCTGGAGTCTGTGTAGGTGATCCTTGAGGTAAAAGTGTCTGGTTTTTGCGAAGTTCCTGCCGGGACCTTTTCTCTGTCCGGGCGCTGGTTGCTTGTATGGCGTCAGCGCCCATGATGGTTGGTAGCCCGGGGGATGGCAGTTGGCACCTGGTGGCCCCCCAGGCGGGTTGTCCCTTGTCCCGGGGCCAGCGGACGGTTCCCTGTTGCACCTTGTCTTCCCCCATGGAGGGCAGGAGGTTGGCCAGCCCTGAGCTGGGGCACCCACAGCAGATGTGGGACAGGCGTCCTCACTGCCGCCCTCCAGGGCCCGGACACACCAGGCCTTCTGACCTCCTGTTCAGCGTCCAGCCCAGATGAGCCCCGCGTGCGTCTGCAGGGACTCAGGGTGTCCGGACAGATGAGCCCCGAATGCGTCTGCAGGGATTTGGGGTGTCCACCCAGATGAGCCCCGAGTGTGTCTCAGAGGACTCGGGTGTCTGGCCCAGATGAGCCCTGAGTATGTCTGCAGGGACTTGAGGTGTCCGGACAGACGAGCCCCGAGTGTGTCTGCAGGGACTCGGGGTGTCCGGACGAAAGGCAGACCACACTGCAGAGCCTTTTCCTGGGGAAAGTGTCCCGGTTGGAACTCTGACCTGAGCTGTTGTTTGTGAGTCAGTGTTTGCCTGGTCTTAGCAGGGAAGGTAGCTGCCGAGATGGAAGGATTGAAAGAGAGACACGCCTCTCGCCCAGCTTCCTAGACAGACTGGTGCTCAGTGAAAAGATGAGCTGAGGGTCCCCGAGCTGAGGGTCCCCAGGTGCCCATATCACCCGGGAAGTCTCGGGTCACACTGGAGTGTGTACACAAGGCTCTCTTACCCACGCAGCCTGCACGGCCGTGCCCGTGAGCTGTCCTCCTCGCTCAGTGACCCTGCAGGGACACAGGTGCTTAAAGAGGACGGGGTCCTGGGGCAGGAGCCGCGCAGGTGGCCGTGGTGAGGCTGTGGCCAGTGGGCTGTGCAGTGAGGCTGTGCCCAGGGCTGTGTGGTGAGGCTGTGCCCAGGGCTATGCTGTGAGGCTGTGCCCAGGGCTGTGCTGTGAGGCTGTGCCCAGGGCTGTGCGGTGAGGCTGTGCCCAGGGCTGTGCTGTGAGGCTGTGCCCAGGGCTGTGTGGTGAGGCTGCAGGGCTGTGCCCAGGGCTGTGTGGTGAGGCTGCAGGGCTGTGCCCAGGGCTGTGCGGTGAGGCTGCGCTCAGGGCTGTGTGGTGAGGCTGTGCCCAGGGCTGTGCTGTGAGGCTGTGCCCAGGGCTGTGCCCAGGGCTGTGCGGTGAGGCTGTGCCCGGGGCTGTGCTGTGAGGCTGTGCCCAGGGCTGTGCCCAGGGCTGTGCGGTGAGGCTGTGCCCAGGGCTGTGCGGTGAGGCTGTGCCCGGGGCTGTGCGGTGAGGCTGTGCCCGGGGCTGTGTGGGGAGGCTGCAGGGCTGTGCCCGGGGCTGTGAGGCTGTGCTCAGCGGCTCTGTCTTTGCAGCGATGACGCCCTGCCTGCCGTACCTGGTGCTCCTGTGGGGCGCCCTCGGGGTCGCCGACGCCGCCAAGATCATCGTGGTGCCGCCCATCATGTTTGAGAGCCACATGTACATCTTCAAGACGCTGGCCGCCGCCCTGCACGCGCGGGGCCACCGCACCGTGTTCCTGCTGTCGGAGGGCCGCGACCTGGCGCCCTCGCCGCACTACGGGCTGCGGCGCTACCCGGGCCTCTTCAACAGCTCGGCCTCGGACGCCTTCCTGCAGGCCAAGATGCGCAACATCTTCGCGGGGCGGCTGACGGCCGTGGAGCTGTTCGACATCCTGGACCACTACACGCGGAACTGCGACATGGTGCTGGGCAACCGCGCGCTGCTGCGGGCGCTGCGGCGGGAGCGCTTCGACCTGCTGCTCGTCGACCCCAACGACATGTGCGGCTTCGTGATCGCGCACCTGCTGGGCGTGCAGTACGCCGTCTTCTCCACCGGCCTCTGGTACCCGGCCGAGGTGGGCGCCCCCGCACCGCTGGCCTACGTGCCCGAGTTCAACTCGCTGCTCACGGACCGCATGAGCCTGGTGCAGCGGATGAAGAACGCGGGCGTGTACCTGGTGTCGCGGCTGGGGGTGCACCTGCTGGTGCTCCCCAAGTACGAGCGGGTCATGCGGAAGCACGGGCTGCTGCCCGGCCGCTCGCTATACGACCTGGTGCAGGGCTCCAGCCTGTGGATGCTCTGCACCGACGTGGCGCTGGAGTTCCCGCGGCCCACGCTGCCCAACGTGGTCTACGTGGGCGGCATCCTCACCAAGCCGGCCGGCCCGCTGCCCCAGGTGAGGCCCGCGCGTGCCGGGACCCGTGTCCGGAGGGGTCCCCGCTCGGTCTGGGTTTTCGGGAGCCGTAGGGTGGTTATCTGAGCAGAAACGCTGCTGAAGGCGGGAGGACAGAGCCCCGCGTCCCCTTATGTGGGGGGGGGCGTGTCGGGGCCAGGGGTCGCGCTCCTGCTGGGAGCGAGTCTGTGATGCCCGGGCCACTCCGCCACGTGGTCAGGACACGAGCTGGAGGGGTTCCTGACGCAGCCATCGCTGTGGGGTGTGAGCAGAATGTGGGGAGAAGCTGCGAGTGGGAGATGGGGAGACGGACGCCGAGTGGGAGTGGCTTTGCTTTAATGAAACCCAGTCCCCTCCGTGAGCAGGTCCCTGTCTGATCTGGGCCCTTAGGTATTAAACGTGAATGAAGGCCTGGGCCGGTGGTGCTCAGTGGTTAGAGTGCCGGCCCTGCACCGAAGAATTGTGGGTTCGATTCCTGGTCAGGGGCACGTACCTGGGTTGCGGGTTCCAACCCAGCCCGGTCAGGCGCTTGCGGGAGGCAGCCGGTCGGAAGTGGTAACAGGTTGTAGGTGTCCTCGCAGCTGTTAGGGGCTTCACAGGGGGGATGACAGCAGGGCTAAGGCTTCGTGCGTTGACCCAAAAGGAACGCATTTCAGCTGCTGATTCCTCGTGGGTTCAGGCCCGTGGGCCGCGATCACCCTGAATTGTGGGGTGTCTGGAGGTGCGGCCGAACCAGAGTTCCCGTGGCCTCGCTCCTGTGCGGGTGGTGTCACCGTAGCCCAGTCCCGGGACCACGGCTCACTGGGCACACGGTCAGTATTAAGTGACCTGCATCAAACAGAACCGCTGCCAAACACGAGGCCCTCGCCCAGCCCTGTCTGTCACAGCGTCACCTGTCTGCCCGGGTGTCGGGCCGTCCCAGCTGCAGCCCCAGCGCCGTCCACGTCACTCACCGCAGTGACTCAGAGCAGCCGCCGCCACCGACAAGACAAGGTCCCCGTCCGCTTCCTCGGGGTGAACTGACCTGGTCTCTCGTGTCGGAGCGGGGACTGTGGCTGCCATGGCCACAGTGGTGTCCTGGGTGCCCTGGCCCTGGTATGCTGCACCCCGAGGTCAGCAGGCCCAGGGGCATCCTCCCTGCACCCCGAAACCAGCAGCTCAGGGGCGCCTCCTTCCTGCACCCCGAGGTCAGCAGCTCAGGGACGCCTCCTCCCTGCACCCCGAGGTCAGCAGGCTCAGGGGTGTCCTTCTCCTCCCTGCACCCCGAGGTCAGCAGGCTCAGGGGCATCCTCCCTGCACCCCGAAACCAGCAGCTCAGGGGCGCCTCCTCCCTGCACCCCGAGGTCAGCAGCTCAGGGACGCCTCCTCCCTGCACCCCGAGGTCAGCAGGTTCAGGGGTGTCCTTCTCCTCCCTGCACCCCGAGGTCAGCAGGCCCAGGGGCACCCTCCTCCATGCACCCCGAGGTCAGCAGGCTCAGGGGCGCCCTTCTCCTCCCTGCACCCCGAGGTCAGCAGGCTCAGGGGCATCCTCCCTGCACCCCGAAACCAGCAGCTCAGGGGCGCCTCCTCCCTGCAGGTCAGCAGGCTCAGGGGCGTCCTCCTCCTCCCTGCACCCCGAGGTCAGCAGGCTCAGGGGCGTCCTCCTCCTCCCTGCACCCCGAGATCAGCAGGCTCAGGGGTGTCCTCCCTGCACCCCGAGGTCAGCAGGCTCAGGGGCACCCTCCTCCCTGCACCCCGAGGTCAGCAGGCTCAGGGGCGTCCTCCTCCTCCCTGCACCCCGAGATCAGCAGGCTCAGGGGTGTCCTCCCTGCACCCCGAGGTCAGCAGGCTCAGGGGCACCCTCCTCCCTGCACCCCGAGGTCAGCAGGCTCAGGGGCGTCCTCCTCCTCCCTGCACCCCGAGGTCAGCAGCTCAGGGGCGTCCTCCTCCCTGCACCCCGAGGTCAGCAGGCTCAGGGTGCCCTCCTCCCTGCACCCCGAGGTCAGCAGCTCCGGGGCGTCCTCCTCCCTGCACCCCGAGGTCAGCAGGCTCAGGGGCATCCTCCCTGCACCCTGAGGTCAGCAGGCTCAGGGGTGTCCTTCTCCTCCCTGCACCCTGAGGTCAGCAGGCTCAGGGGCGCCTCCTCCAGCTCTAGAGATGTTTCCAATTCAGGGGAATTTGGTCGTGGGACTCACAGAGCACACAGGCCAGGTACACAATGTGGTTTCTCATCACCTTAAAAGTTGTGTCTTTCGCCTTTGAGTTATAGGGGGTTTTTAAATAGGTTTTGTAAAATATGTTTTTGCTCAAAGGCAAACATTAAATTAGGGAAATGCTTCAAGCCTTTGCAGACTCGGTTTCATTTGGGGGAAGTTCACGCTTCATTGGGAAGTACAGGGAGCAGCAGGAGGCAGGGAATCTTCCACTCGGCCCTCAGCCGGCTGCCAGGAACTTGGCGCAGTTCCAAACACACATTCCTCGGCCGGGGTGGGGGGTGGGGGTGGTGAGGGTGGGGGGAGGATCGATGATGCAGCGCCTGCCGCTCACCTGTTCTCCGTTCACATGCCTCCAACAACGCGCTTGCTCTTTTCGCTTCTTTTGTGCAACTCACAGCTATTTAAGTCTTAAGTAACTTGTTCCATAAACAGAACCTTAAATAAGACTGGTTTGCTGGGACTTTTCGATGGAGAGGGCAGACACCTTTGCAGGCAGGTGTGCTTGGGCCCCTTGGTCTGGCTGCTTAGAAGCGCGAGGTGTTCTCGGGAAGGGACGCCCGCCGGGAAGTGACTCACGTGCTGATGACGCACGCCCGCGCCGTCGGCTGGGCCAAGTCCATTTTCCCAGCAAGGACACGGGCGGCCTGTAGCCACGTCTGACGCGGAGAGTTGAGTGTATCTGCCGGGACCTGCGTGGTGACACAGCTAAAGCCTTTTTCAACCGTGCGGAGCAGCTGCTGTGTGAGGTCTCCTGACTCGGTTCCCAAGGCTGCTTCCCTTCTGGTCCGGTAGCTCCCCCGCAGAGACATGGATGGGACACGCGTGTCGCCGCTGCTCACGTGGATAACTCTGCCCTCTCAGCTGGCAGGGCCCGGGCCCCGGTTCTCAGAGCCGAGGTCTGTGTTCGCTGCCAGCTGGGGCCACAGCTGTGCCCGCGGACTTGGCAATGAGTGCCCGGGCTGGACACAGCCCCAGGGCCCGGGACACAGTGCGCTTTGTGTGAGAAGCACAGAGTGACCCGCACACGCAGAGGCTGCGGGGAGAGCAGCGGTGCCGAGCGTGGCGCCGGCGACCTTTAAGGAAGTTCTTTCGTTTAACCTGAGGGAGGGATCCATCAATGCCGTCCCTTAAGGGGACCCCGCCCGGCCCTACTGCCAGGCTCACGCGTGGCCTTTCCATGGTCTCTCCTTTCCCTCCTTTTGCTCCCCTTCAGCCCCCAACACAACCCCCCAGAACCCAGAGCCCCCCACGCCCTGCCCTGCACCCGCCGCCTCGCCCCGGGGACCGTCCTTCCTCTCCCTGAGCCTCGGCACCGAGCCGAGAGCGGAGCCCGCGGAGCTGCGGTGCTGACAGGCCCGCGCCCCGGGTTTACCTTTTCCGGGTCCTGAATATTTTTATAGGGGAAACCGGAGGCCAAGGAGGGAGGTAAGGCCACGGGTCAAAAA